AAAAACTATTTGCGGATGACCGAATCGCAGTTTAATCTTCTGCTTTCATACATAGAGCAAGATTTGGTGAAGCAGGATACTCAAATGAGAGATGCAATTACGCCTGCAGAAAAGCTGTGTTTGACGTTGCGATTTCTTGCCACTGGTAAGCTGTAATAGGGCATCATGATCCCTTAGTATGTATGTATTTAATAACCATATAAGCGAATCACTTTTACAGGAGAAACATATCAAAGCTTAAGCTTTCATTCGAAATTGTCAAAATCGGCAATAAGTGGCATAATCCCGGTAGTGTGTGACTCTATTTGGCGTAGACTAAAAGGCTTACATATGAAGGTATCAATTTTAAATAAATATTTTGGCATGTAGCGCAGTATCAATTGTTGTATACTTAGTTTCCCAACAGTCCTTCTGAATGGGAGTCGATAGCGTACGAATTTGCTATTAAATGGCAATTCCCAAATTGCATCGGTGCTTTAGATGGCAAGCACATCACCTTCCGACCGCGTCGCAAAGATGGAGCATTCTACCATAATTATAAAGGAACGAACAGCATTGTTTTATTAGCGCTCGTCGATGTGAACTGTAAATTCATTTTTGTCGACATCGGATGCAATGGATGCAATAACGATGCGGGCGTATTTTTGCAAAGCAAGCTCTCCACATTTTTACGTGAAGAAAGAGGAATACCCAAGAATGCTACCATCGGTAACAACCGGAGTCTTCCGTTCGTTGTTGTTAGCGATGATGCTTTTCCCATGCAGAAGCACTTAATGAAGCCGTACCCTTATCACTCTAACTGCCGTGATAAGCAAGTTTTCAATTCCCGACTTTCACGCGCCAGGCATGTTGTTGAGCACGCGTTTGGCATTTTGGCTAACAGATTTCGCATCTTTCTCGCTCCGATGAATTTGAAAGTCGAAACAGTAGAAAATGTTACCTTCGCATGCTGCGTTCTACACAATTTTTTAACTTCAAATAGTACATTGTCTAATGTAAATAATGGTAGAGCCGAGAGAGTTACTGCAGCTTCAAGTCAATACAATCCGCGAAGGGGAGAAGCAGAAGCTATTCGGCAG